GCTCCTCAGAGAAAATATTTGAATACCTGGACCGGACTCCTTGTTCTCCACTCAGTGGCTCGTTGGCACCCTTAAACATGGAAGGTCTTGTCGAGTTCCAGGACGTCTCCTTTGCCTACCCAAACCATCCCGATGTTCAGGTTCTTCAGGTACTGCCCACCGAACCTGAATCCCCCTCTCCTACCTTTGCCGCTTCCATCTTCGTACCAGGGCTCCTTCCTAACCCTCAAAAGTGCCGATGAGAGCCGTGTGTTTATACATGACTCAACCCAAGCACAGGTTGGTTTACCAATGACAAGAGAAGGCTTCACAGAGAAGGCTTCTGGGGCTGGAGCGATGGCTCACTGGCTAAGAGTATGTGCTGCTCTTGCAGAGGACCCAGTTCGGTTCCCAGCATGCATATGGTGGCTCACAACCACCTGCTCCAGTTCCAGGGGGATCCTGTACCCTCTTTGGACCTCTGTGGGCACAAGGCATGAACATGACATGGATGCACACATGCTGGGGAAGTAGTCACACACATAAAATTAAACAAATAAATCTTTAAAAAAATTAAGAGAAAGCTCCTATGACAAAGAAGTTGGCAAGGCAACACGCAACTCCAGCTGCCGTTTGAGATGCAGATGTTATTTCTACTTCTTGGGATGGCTCAGCCTCCAGTTTTACTCCCCAGTGATGCTTCTTGCCCACGCATTTGCCCCAGCCTCTCTCTCTTCTCCTTCCATGACGTCATCCCAGAAGTCCAAGCACACAGAGGCCAGGGATTGCTCAGTATTCTCCCATGTTTCCTCTTGGGTAATATGTCACATCACACACGAGAATAGTGACAGGCTCCAGGCTGGAGGAGCTCCTGCCATGTGCTTCTCTGCCTCCAGGGCCTGACGTTCACACTGCACCCTGGAAAGGTGACAGCGTTGGTGGGGCCCAACGGGTCCGGGAAGAGCACCGTGGCTGCCCTGCTGCAGAATCTGTACCAGCCCACAGGGGGCCAGGTGCTGCTGGACGGCCAGCCCCTGGTCCAGTATGATCACCACTACCTGCACAACCAGGTGCGAGGGGCTTTGGAGAGGGAGGGGCAGGAGAGAGGAGCAAGCGTAGGGGAGGGGAGGAGACCAAGCCAGGAGGATATTCTCAGTGAAAACTCTTGCAGAAGCTCCGGGGGTGCAGTGGGGGCTGTGTGCAGGACACATGACTGTATGGTGTGCCCTTACTTGTGACTGCAGTCCTAGACAATAACACTCCCATGGTTCCTGCCTGTGGCCCTTCACCTTTCACCTTAGGTGGCCGCAGTGGGACAAGAGCCACTGCTATTTGGAAGAAGTTTCCGAGAAAATATTGCCTATGGCCTGATCCGGACTCCAACCATGGAGGAAATCAGAGCTGTGGCCATGAAGTCTGGAGCCCACGATTTCATCTCTGGACTCCCTGAGGGCTATGACACAGGTACCCCAGACTCCGATAACCCTGCCTTTGTTACTCAAGTCCTCCCGCCCTTCGCATCTCAATTTGTAGCTGAAACTATTGTTTCTGTGGTTCACATCCTCAGAACTCCCCTTCCAGCTGCCTCCGGTGGTCGTGTGTGTGTGTGTGTGTGTGTGTGTGTGTGTGTGTGTGCCTGCATGTGTTTGAGAGTGTCTCTGTGTATGAATCTCTCTGTGTATGAATGTGAGTGTGTCTGTATGTGTGAGTGTGCGCATGTGTGTGTACACACCTGTCTCTATCTCAGCTGGTCTCTTCCCTCTGCAGAGGTGGGTGAGACTGGGAACCAGCTGTCAGGGGGTCAGCGACAGGCAGTGGCCTTGGCCCGAGCTTTGATCCGGAAGCCACGCCTGCTTATCTTGGACGATGCCACCAGTGCCCTGGATGCCAACAACCAGCTACGGGTGAGGCTCTTGTTCTCCTCTTCTTTCTCTCTGGGACCATCTTGCCATAGTCTTGGCTGGCTTGGAACTCAGTTTGAAGACCACGCTGGCGTCAGACATGTAGCAGGCTTTCTTTTTTCTTTGGCTGCCACCCAGCTCCCAAATCATGACATGGAGACTTGTTATTAGTTTTGAACGCTCAGCCTAGCTTAGGCTCATTTTGGGCTAGCTCTTTCAACCTAAATTAACTTGTTTCTCTTTATCTTTTTGCCTCAGGGATTTTTGCTTTTTCTTTCTGTATGTCCTACTTTTCCTGCTTCTTCTGTGTCTGTCTGTCTGGCCCTGGGCATCTCTCTCTTTCTTCCTCATTTTCTCCTCCTTCTCTCTCATTCTTTTTTCAAGTCTAGATTTCTTCTATTTATTCTTTCTACCTGCCAGCCTCGCCTATCCCTCTCCTGCCTAGCTAGTGACCATTCAGCTTCTTATTAGACCAATCAGGTGCCTTAGTCAGGCAAGGTGAAACAAATGCCACACATCTCTGTGTAATTAAACAAAGGCAGCAGAAACAAATGTAACACATCTTTACATTGTTAACAAAGGCAGCAGAAACAAATGTAACACATCTTCACCCAGTTAAAATAATATTCCAGGACCCTGACCCACTGCAGTCTTCCTGCCTTCTGAGGGTGGGGTTGCCCTGCTCTGTCACCTCCTTAAGGTCTCAGTGCCACGACCTTGCTTCTGTTGCTCATCCAGTTAGTTACGCCAACAATGTAACTGTTCAAACCTGTCTTGGGAGTTTTCAGTTCCCGCTTACTTTTCTCCAGGACACTCAGAACCCGTAAAAAGGGCCTCTGTCCTAACAGTGTCGATGAGGGCTGAGTGTGCGTTGTGCCCCAGATGTGTGTCAATGAGGGCTGAGTGTGCTTTGTGCCCCAGATGTGTGTCAATGAGGGCTGAGTATGCGTTGTGCCCTAGAAGTGTGTCGACAAGGGCTGAGCGTGCGTTGTGCCCCAGATATGCTATCCTGCCCTTTGTACTCATTTGTCCATCAGAGTCTTTTGCTCTGCTTATTCTGTGGATGGCAAAATAGAGACTAAGAGAGGTTGATTAACCTTCTAAAAATCACACAGCTCCAAATCCAAGTCCTCTGCCTGAATTCTCATGTTCTTTGTTACTAAGTTAAATTTTTCTTTACATTTTTAGGCTTATTTATTTTATGTGTATGAACACTTATTTTATGTATATGAGTGTTTATTTTGCCTATGAGCGTCTTATTTATTTTATGTGTATGAGTGTTTGGCCTGAATATGTGTGTGTTGCATGGAAGCCTAGTGCCCCGGAAAGTCAGAAGAGAGTGCTGGATCCCCTGAAACTGGAGTTACGGGTGATTGTGAAACACCATGTGGGGGCTGGGACTCAACTCTGGGTCCTCTGGAAGAGCAGCCAGTACCTTAGCTGCTGAGATGGCAGACGGGTTTTTCTTTGTGCTGCCAGCATGCAAAAATGACTCGGAGACTTATTATTATTTATGAAAGCTTGGCCTTAGCTTAGGCCTGTTTCCCTTTCTTTCTTTCTTTGTTTTGAGACAGACAGTGTCATAGCCCTAGTTGTCCTGGATCTCATCTGTAGACCAGGCTGGCCTCGAACTCACAGAGATCCGCCTGCCTCTGCCTCCCAAGTGCTGGGATTAAAGGCGTGCGCCACCACCGCCCGGCCTAACTAGTTACATTAATCCATATCTTTTGTGTGGCTACGCTACCTTTACTCTGTACTGCCCATCCCGTTTCCTCTCCATCTTGCTGGCGGCTCTGGTTTCTTACTCTCTGAGTCTTCTCTGTCCCCAGAAGTCCAACCTAACCTCTTCCTGCCTAACTAATGGTCATCCAGCCCTTTATTAAGACCAATCACAGTGACACATCTTCACACAGTGTAAAGAAATATTCCACAGCATCGCTCCAGCTCCGAAGTTAAATTTCTTTAAATTAAATATAAAATCTCTCAGTTTATTCGTGGGTTATTTAAAAGGGTTTATGCAGTAGGGACAGGGAAATGGGTGGGTGGGGCAGAGAGGAGGGAAATGGGAGGCGGTATGATTACATTTCATTGTATACACGTGTGAAATTCTCAAAGCACAAATTAACATATATTTTTGAATGTAAAAAAATACCCACATATTAAGGCTAGATGAGGCAACCCTAGTCTTACTGCAGCTTGATAGGCCATGCTTGATTGATATCCCAGGAAGTCCTGCCTTTTCTCAAGGGAAACAGAGGAGTAGATGGGGGAGAGGGGAAGTGAAGGGGAGGGTCTGAGAGGAGAGGAGGGAGGGGAAACTTATGGGTAGTTGAGGGAGACGTCAGTTCCCTCCGCTGGTGCTTTAGTGAATCTGTGCCACCTCTTGCGAAGAGACCTTAACAAAAAAAGGCTTCAGACCAGGAATGCCAGCGTCCGGGGTTGTTGTCCTGCAGTGTGCACCAGCCCTGGAAGTTCAGAGGCTCCCGCCTGTGAGGTCTGTGTTTCTGCAGGTCCAGCGGCTCCTCTATGAGAACCGGGGACCGGCTTCTCCAGCGGTGCTGCTAATCACGCAGCAGCTCAGCCTGGCGGAGCAGGCGCACCACATCCTCGTTCTCAAAGACGGCTCCGTCTGCGAGCAGGGCAGCCATCTGCAGCTCATGGAGAAGAGCGGAGGGTGCTACCGGGCCATGGTGGAGGCTCTTGGGGCTCCTTCAGACTGACAGGCCTCTGGACCTGCGCTCTGCACACTGCCCTCCTTCGCTGTCCTCTGCTCTGTGTGGCGGAGACCCTGGGAGCAAAGATATCACCACACCCATTGGCCTGGCTCAGCTGAGGAGCAAGATAAAAATGTAACACTTGGGAGATGCCCGGAATTTACCACGAATGTTATCCCCACTCCTGCCCCTTAGACTGGATTGCAGGTACCTCAGAGTGACCCTAAACGTGGAAGACCTTGAACTCCGGATTCTCCCTCCTCCTCTCTTCTGGTGTTGTTCTGGTACCACAGCACCAGAACCTGGTTTATGCAATGTTGGGGATGGAAGTGATGAGAAGAAATGCTCAAAATGAAGCAGCTTTTAATTAACCAAAGGCATAAGCTGGCCTATGGGTAACCCGTGGGCTCTTGATATTTATAATAAAACTGTTGTTTTGTACTGTAACTTCAGTTCCTCAGCGTCCACAAACTGTTCACTGAGTTAGCCAGGGCTCTTCCCAACACACAGCCCGGAGTCTCACTCTTCAGAGTTCTCTTTTATTACTACGTCCTATCATCTTTGATTTCCTCAGCACCGAGTCCCGTGCTGAGCAGGATCAGGAGGCAGCCCCCCCCCCCCCATCCCCGCAGCTCCCTCAGTAGCTGGGTCTCAGAGCCCAAGGCAAAAGGAAGCGTGGAAGTGGGGAAGCCAGGGTGCCACTGGGCCACCTCGTCAGACTTGATCCTTTCTGAGTCTCTCACCCAGCGCCTCAGAGGCACACGCTGGGATAATCTCAAAGAAGCGGATAGGATTATTTAGTAAATCTCTTTATTCAGGGAGGGCCAGATGACCGTGACGCCAGCAGTTGCTGGGCAGATGAGGTCCGTACAGGTTGCAAGGAGAGGCGGGGTTTAGAAGAATACGAGGAAGAAGCGCTCAGGCGGAACCTGAACGTGGCAAACAGTCGGGGTAGAAGGGCAAGGGCGCGTTCTCGTGGGTGGCCTCGGGGTGCTGAGACTGTTGAACCGGGAGGAGCCCTAGGAGGGACCACATGAAAAAACCCGAACTGTGCGCTCTCCTTGAACGGCCGTTCCTTACGCATTGGCTGGCTCCCCCCCTCCCCCCCCGTCGTCCCAGGAACTAAGGACCCCAAGCGCCCTTTTATCGTATTTTCCAGGTTCTCTAAAATGATGCGCCTTTGCATGCCGCCCCCGTCCCCAGGACGCACGCCTAGGTGAAGCTGCTCAAGGCTCCTCACAGGCTCCAGCTTTCTGGAGCACCTCTTTAGGTGTCGGTACCCTGTCCGGTCCTCTGCTGTTTCCAGAGGATGCCCCGCCTGTGGGCTCTCACGTACCCCACTGCTCGGGGCCTCTGAAGGCGCACCTCTTCTTCCATCCCACCGCCCATTATCTAGCTGGTCTCACCCACCGGGCAGCAGGGGAACTCATCCCCAGTATGACATTTTTAGTTCAGACACCCATTCATTGGGCTCTTCTCGGAAAGGGCAGGGGATGGGGAGGGGGGGGTTCTGGTTCCCTCCCCTTCGAGCTGTGGCTTTCGCTTTCACTTCCTTGTCGGAGAGTCGACGGATCTCGGGGCCGAACGGTCATGGCGTTACTGGATCTGTGCGGAGGCGCTCGGGGGCAGCGGCCCGAGTGGGCTGCCCTGGGTGCAGAAAGCGGGTATCGTTCGGACCCGGGACACTACAGTTTCTCTGTGCAAGCTCCCGAGCTCGCGCTTCCGCGGGGGATGCAGGTGAGGACTGTAGGGACCCGTGAGAGATGCAACGGGAGGTAGAGGAAGGAGGGTCTGCCTGGGTCTGAGGAGGTGAGGAAGCCTGCAGGGACTGCCCAGGAGAGCAGCATCCAGGCCAGCCATAAAAAACCCACGTGGAGATGAAGGCAGAGGAGAGAAGCGGGGAGGGAGGGGGAGAGAGAGAGAGAGAGAGAGAGAGAGAGAGAGAGAGAGAGAGAGAGTATGGGGGTGTCCACCCCAAGACACTGCACAAATCACACCTTCACAGACACAACGCTGCTACAGGGCCGAGCATTGTCTTGGATGACCCGTGAACTTGGGTGGCTCACCTGGCCTCGACAACCCACCCTGTGTGTCCTGGAACATGTTAGTCTTGGTCTCAAGCCTCTCTACTGTAAAGTGAGCGTAGGTTAATGTGCTTTGTGAGACCTGAAGGAGCCATGGATGGGCAAACACCTTGAAGTCAGTTACCATGACCTTTGCTCCCTCGTGCTGGAAAACAGAAAGGATGGCGGCCATGCCTCCTGCTTTTCCTCCTCCATCTCCAGTCTGGCTGTTGGTGGTTAGAGAATCGGGAGACCCCTCCTCACCCACTACTCTCCAAAACCCTGCTGATACTGAGGTGTCCAAAGCTCCCTTTCCGCCTCTTCTCTCTTAGCCCACTGACTTCCTGAAGTCCTTTGGTTGTGACCAAGAAAGGAATGTTCAGATCGAGATGGCCCATGGTACAACCACACTAGCCTTCAAGTTCCAGCATGGGGTCATCGTGGCAGTGGACTCCCGGGCCTCTGCGGGCACTTACATTAGTGAGTATGCCTGATTTAGGGCGGGAGGTGTTCCCTTCTCTTGGTAGCCTGAGGCCTGCACACCGCCTCGGGTAGAGCAGCTGCTAAGGAGCTGGTGCACTGTGGGCTCATTCCCTTGATCTCAAAATTCTTCTAGGCACCTTAAGGGTGAACAAGGTGATCGAGATTAACCCTTACCTGCTTGGCACCATGTCTGGCTGTGCTGCTGACTGTCAGTACTGGGATCGGTTGCTGGCCAAGGAATGCAGGTGGGCAGATTTCCTCATTTCATTTGTTCAATCCTCACATCTCCGAGGTCAGTTACCCCGGCCATCCAGCTCAGCGCTAATAAGGAATTTTTAAAAAAAAGGCTTTGTGCAATTAAAAATCTCCAAATCTTAGACTTCGCTCTGCTTATAAAACCAGGTAATCTGCCGATTCTTTAATGTGGACGCCATCCATCCTATAGGATGGCATTCTTGTTGTTTTTCAAGATAGGATCTCTCTGTGTAATCCTGGCTGTCCTGGAACTCATTCTGTAGACCAGGCTGGCCTCAAACTCACAGAGATCCTCCTGCCTCTGCCTCCCAAGTGCTGGTATTAAAGGTGTGCCCCACTTTATCAGGCTTTTTAAAATGTGGTTCAGATAATTTAAATCCCAAAACTCTGCCTTGTTCTTACGTCCCACCAGCGCATAGCTTCCAAACACTCATCTCTGCAATCCTTTCTTGCTTCATTCTGTGGGAGTCCTCCCACCTGCCACGCCTTAGTCCTCCCTCCTTCTCCCCTAGGCTGTACTACCTGCGGAATGGGGAGCGTATCTCTGTGTCGGCAGCCTCCAAGCTTCTTTCCAACATGATGCTCCAGTACAAGGGCATGGGCCTCTCCATGGGCAGCATGATCTGTGGCTGGGACAAGAAGGTGGGTGACCCACTCCTAAGCTCCCCACTCTTGCTGTGGCTGGGACAAGAAAGGGGTGACCCGTTCCTATGCTCCCCACTCTTGCTGTGGCTGGGACAAGAAGGGGGGTGACCCGCTCCTAAGCTCCCCATTCTTTCTGTGGCTGGGAGGCTGGGACAAGAAGGGGGTGACCTGTTCCTATGCTCCCTACTCTTGCTGTGGCTGGGACAAGAAGGGGGGTGACCCGCTCCTATGCTCCCCACTCTTGCTGTGGCTGGGACAAGAAGGGGTGAACCACTCCTATGCTCCCCACTCTGGATAAGCTGTTTCTTACCTGTTGGACACTACCCTCCCCCACTACCCTCCCTCATGTTTGGTTCAGGTTCTGATGTTTACCAGAGTGTGCTCTCTTAACCAAGTGTTTCCACGGCAGTATCGCTATGATGGCTACTCTCCATCAATCACACTAAGTCTTTATATTATCAACAAACCAGTTCCAGACTTTACTCAGGATGGTTTCCCATCCTATAGGGACCAGGACTCTACTACGTAGATGAAAATGGGACTCGGCTCTCAGGACAGATGTTCTCCACGGGCAGCGGGAACAGCTACGCCTATGGGGTGATGGACAGTGGCTACCGGCAGGATCTCAGTCCCGAAGAGGCCTATGACCTTGGCCGCAGGGCTATCGTTCACGCCACCCACAGAGACTGCTATTCTGGAGGTGTAGTCAATAGTAAGAGACTGGTCTGGGGTTCCCCAAACACCTTGGGAGGGGGATTTTAGACTGGGGGACTTGGGGGCACTGGGGTGGAGATTTTCACATTTGACAACACAGAAGTCCCAGGATCTCAGCTTGTGTGTGGATGCGGGGTGTGAGTGTGAGAGCCCATGTAAGAGGCTGCTGCCAGCCACGCCACACCACCGACCGGAGGCTTACTGAAGACTGGTTTGACACCATTTTTTTTTTCTCAATCGCTCACAGTGTACCACATGAAGGAAGACGGTTGGGTGAAGGTGGAAAGCTCGGATGTCAGCGACCTGATGCACAAGTACCGAGAGGCCAGTCAGTGATGGCAGCGGCTGCTGGGTACTCGGGGACCTGGGTCAGCTTCAGTGCCAGGAGAAAGAAGGGCCCAACCTGGGCTGGAGACAGAAAGCTCTGAGGGCATGGAGAGGGCCAGGTTCACCCTCTGTCTCCCCAAGCAGCCCATCCCCGGGTACCTTCTAAGTACAATAAAAGAAAAACGGTTATACATATCTCTGTGTTGTGGCTGAATGGAGTCAGGCTGTGGGGTCCTTTGGAGGCAGGGTTAGGGAGCAAACAGGAAGCCAAGCAGGGCTTCAGTTGAGAAGGGGGCGCCACCTTCTCTCTGAGTAGCCGAGCGTCACTAGGTTCTTCCTGGACATCCCCTGGCACTCAGCTCTCAGGAGGACCCATCACCCTTCTCTTTGGACGCTCATTTTCCATTTCATTCAGCCCACAGCCCTTCCTGGAGTGTCAGGGTCTGGGGACGCCAGTGTGCCCCCTTATGGATGTTTTGGGGTGCCCCGGAAGGCTTTGTGAATCGCTTAAGTAGCACCTTTGTGACACTGGACACTGAATATAAAGACGCTGCTGGGTTCAATTTCACGATGTCACCTCTGGCTGCGTGGTGAGAGCGTAATGAAGAGAGGTGAGCCGGACTCCCCGGAGTCGGGGAAGCAGGGGAAAAAGAGAAAGAGAAGAGAATGTAGGGTCGGAAGCACAGGAGTGGTCAAGAGCCCGGCCCCAGGCTAAAGGAGAAGAGGAGCAGCCAGGCAGGAGCTTTTCTTCACTAGGGACAGATAAGGGTGGCCATGTAGCAGGACCCACTTCAATGCTCTCACCTCCCAACCCAAAATTTATTTATTTATTTATTTATTTATTTATTTATTTATTTATTATGTATACAATATTCTGTTGGCGTGTATGCCTGAAGGCCAGAAGAGGGCACCAGACCTCATTACAGATGGTTGTGAGCCACCATGTGGTTGCTGGGAATTGAACTCAGGACCCCTGGAAGAGCAGGCAATGCTCTTAACCTCTGAGCCATCTCTCCAGCCCCCTCCCAACCCGAAATTAAACATGAAGTGTTTCATGAGTAGTCAACATTTCAAAGGGGATTTTTTTTCTTTAGAGGTAGTTTCAACCTGCTGAGTCATTTCTGAGTGTGGGGCTTGGTGGAGGGACCTGGCGTGTGCGACAAAGACACCTTGTTTTCATAGCTGAGAATGGAACCGATGTCAGCCTCAGCCTAGAGAGGGCTCTACTCTTTTTTTTTCAGTGCATTTAAAAATTTATTTATATATTTTTATTTATTTATTAAAGATTTCTGTCTCTTCCCCACTACTGCCTCCCATTTCCCTCCCCCTCCCCCAACCAAGTCTCCCTCCCTTGTCAGCTCAAAGAGCAATCAGGGTTCCCTGCCCTCTGGGAAGTCCAAGGACCACCCACCTCCATCCAGGTCTAGTAAGGTGGGCATCCAAACTGCCTAGGCTCCCACAAAGCCAGTACATGCAGTAGGATCAAAAACCCGTTGCCATTGTTCTTGGGGTCTCAGTAGTCCTCATTGTCCGCTATGTTCAGCGAGTCCGGTTTTATCCCAGGCTTTTTCAGACCCAGGCCAGCTGGCCTTGGTGAGTTCCCGATAGAACATCCCTATTCTCTCAGTGTGTGGGTGCACCCCTCTCGGTCCTGAGTTCCTTGCTGAGTGAGGTAAGCCAGACCCAAAAAGAGGAACATGGGATGTACTCACTCATATTTGGTTTCTAGCCATAAATAAAGGACGTTGAGCCTATAATTAGAGATCCTAGAGAAGCTAAATAAGAAGGAGAACCCAAAGAAAAACATATAGGCATCCTCCTGAATATTAACCTTCATCAGGCAATGAAAAGAGACAGAGACAGAGACCCACATTGGAGCACCGGACAGAAATCTCAAGGTCCAAATCAGGAGCAGAAGGAGAGAGAGCACGTGCAAGGGCTCTACTCTTGAGCCCTGAGGGCTGATTTCTTCGACAACCTGGGCTCTGGGGGAGGAAGTCGGAACTGCTGCTGTTTGAGAGTGTTAGCCTCTGGCAGCCTCTCCCTCACCTCAGGTGCGACTCTGACGGGGAAGTCTGAGGACAAAGGGCCTGAGCCTCCTGGGTTCAAAATCTGTGAAAGGAAACCTTAGGTCTGGTGACAGCTGCGAGGCCTTCTATCTAGGCCTTGTGTTTTACCCCAAGACCCTGTCCTGAGCCAAAACAACAAGCCCCTCCTCACCCCCTTTCCCTCTCTCTTTCCCAAAGTGACTCGAAGTGAGTCTCCTGTGGGTTCATTGTTAATTGTTTGTGTGACCAGAAGGGCACCTAAAACGCCTCCCTTCTCCATTCTCTTCCTTCCTTCTTTCCCCTCCTCTCTCTTCCTTCACTCCCCCCTTTCTCCTCCCTTGTCCGTTTCCTTCCTTTTCCCTCCTCTTGGCTCCTTTCCTCCTCCTCCCCTTTCCCCTTCCTCATATCTACTGGAGAGTGAACCTAGAGCTCAGACAAGTGTTCCTACCTCTGACCTACAGTCCCAGACAAATGAGAGCTTCTTGAAATAGTTCTGAGCTCGAGGGAGGAACCGGGGAAATGCAGGCTTTTTCCCTTACAAAGCAGCTCAGAGCCTCTGAGAGTTTTGGTAGTAGCGGCCAACGAGGGTGAGCCTCCTTTGGGACCTGGGCGTTCACCCCGCCCGCAGATAGCAGGCGCCACCTGCTGGCCGCGGTGCGCAGCGTGGCTTGAAGCGAAAGCGAAAGCGGCGGGACCAGCGCCTTCATTAAGAGAGCCGCCGGCACGCCCAAGGGATCCAGTTTGGGAAGAAGCAGATTTCAGAAGACCTCCTGAGCTGCTGTTCCGCAGGTGAGTTCTTGTGGACAGTGTGCGAGCGCTAGTAGGGTTGCGGTCCACTCCCAAACCCTTGGTGTCCCCATCTCGCTCTGCTCGTTCTCCGCGTTACCTGTCTTAGGTCTTCTGCCCGGCGCTCCTCCCTGCCACACGTCCTCTGCCCCGCTCCCCTGCCCCATTCAAGGTCCCAGGTCCTCGGTTCCAGGTCCTGTGTCCCGCACCCAGTGTCCCAGTTTCCCTTTCACCCCTTGCCCAGGTCCTCTGCTCCCTTGCCCGGAGTCCACTGCTTTCGTCTCCTGTCCGGCGCTGGCGCCGCCTGCCGCAAGTCCTCTGTGGCTTCATCCCACCGCTGCACCCCATCTCCAGGCCCTAAGGACCCGGGGAGTGGAGGGAGTGTGACTGGGGACTGAGTCTTCTTAGTTAACACCAAGAAGCTTCAAGGGTACAGGCGTGGTGGCAGCAGACCAGTTCCCCGCCCCCTCCCGTATGTGTGTGTGTGTGTGTGTGTTTGTGTGTGTTGTGTGTGTGTGTTTGTTTATGTGTGTGTGGTGGCCTTCCCCACTCCTTTAGACAGGCAGCGTGCCATCTCTCCGGGGAGAGGTGTGACTAGGAGGGGACCTTTCCGGCGAGGCTGAACAAAATGACAGAAGCTGAGAATCCTGATGCGGGTTTGGGGCAGGAGGCCCGTGACCAGGGTTGGGAACTCCACCGCCCTAATTTCTCCCTTTCTCCCTGCAGAGCCCATCATGGCGCTGGCCCACCTGACACCCTGGGCCTCTCTGCTGCTGGTGGACATGGCTTTACTCGCGTTGCTTCGAGGGTCTCTGGGAAATCTGCTTCCCCAGGGACTTCCAGGACTGTGGCTGGAGAGCACCCTGCGCCTTGGAGGACTGTGGGGGCTGCTAACAGCGGGAGGGCTGCTCGGACTTGTTGGCACCTTTCTTCCCTTGCTCTGCCTGGCCACCCCACTCTTTTTCTCGCTGAGAGCCCTGGTGGGAGGCACCATGAGTGCCCCAGCAGTCAGAGTGGCTTTTGCCTCTTGGGGCTGGCTGCTGGCTGGCTATGGGGCTGCCGCGCTGGGGTGGGCCGTGTGGGCTGTGCTGAGCCCTCTGGCAGCCCAGGAGAAGGAACCAGGCCAGGAGAACAACAAAGCCCTGATGTGGCGGTTGCTGAAGCTCTCCAGGCCGGACCTGCCTTTCCTCATAGCTGCCTTGTTCTTCCTCGTGGTGGCTGTGTTGGGTGAGAGGGAAAGGCCTCAGTGAGAGGGAGGTGGGGGGAAGGGCCTTCGCAGGGGGCGGCCCCCTTATCCTTCTTGCCTCTTCCAGGGGAGACCTTAATTCCTCACTATTCTGGTCGTGTGATTGACATCCTGGGAGGCGATTTTGACCCGAATACTTTTGCCAGCGCCATCTTTTTCATGTGCCTGTTCTCTGCTGGGAGGTGAGTGGATGATTGACTTCAGGCCCCTTGGTAGACCCTCGTCTGGATAGGGGCCTCCAGCCTGACTTTGCTTTTCACAAAGCACAAAATTTTTCAACTGAAACACGCACAGTTATCCACCACCGACCTCCGTTCGTCCATTTTCCTCCTCCTTGTATTTTCCAACATCCTCAAAGTTTATCTTATGTCATAGGGCTAGGGAGGAGGGTCGCATGGAACAAAAGGAGCCCATGTGTCAAACGGGACCGATCCAGTGTCTTGAAGTGTCTGCCAGGATTCTCCAGCGGGGGAGGGTGTGTCTCTTCCTCCCGGCCTCCCTCCTTCTCTGCCCCCAACCCCCCATCTTATTGCTTCCTCACCATGGGCCTTGCTTCTTCTTATACAGAGCTTCTTCTTATACAGACACAGGTGCCCGCAGTCTCAAGTAAACAAAACCAGACTGCATGGCAGAGCCGTGACTAGCATGAGAACTCTCAGGTGCAGAAAGAGGGTGCAGGTTCAAGAGGGTCTGTCTGCCTGCCTGTCTGTCTGTCTGTCTCTCCCCTCCCACCTCCCTTCCTAGCCTTCATTGTGCCTCCGGTCTAGTTTTGCTGTTTTCCCCCTGAAGCTATGCCCAGGTGAACCCCTTATGGGTCAGTTCCCTCCCAAAGCCTCTGAACCCAGGCTCTGATTCCCTGTGGTGTCTCTGTAGCTGCTGACTTTTGTACTTCACTTTGGTCTCTTCCTGAATTAGCACGTGCGAAACTCCCTTCCAGCCTCCCATCTACCCTGTCTTTTTGGAGACTTCTCCTCTTCTAGACCCTTAAGTTTGGCCTGTTGGGTGTATTCTAAACCAACCCCCACCCCCGTGGTTCTTTTGTGAGTAAGGGTGTGTGCGTGCACCCTGGAGGTCAGAGGCCAGCTTGCTGAGTCAGCTCTGTCTCTTCTCTATGTGGGCTCCAGGGGCGGCACTTCTGTCTTTACCAGGCGTGGCCATGCAGTGTGTTTGGTTTCTTAAAAATATTCTTTGCGGCAGGTGATTCTCAGATGTGGGTTCACGCAGAGCTGTTGATGTGGGAGTGGTTTCTTATCAATAAAGAAACTGCCTAGGTCCATTTGATAGGCCAACCCTTATCAGGTTCACGCAGAGCTGTTTTATAAACTCAGGTTTACTTACACAGATACACACACAGATACATACATAGACACACAAACATACAGATACACACAGAGACATACAGATACACACACACACACACTCACACATTCTTACTGTGATTGCCCAAATTCCACCATTTCATATCTGCTTATTCAATATGCTAACTAAATTTGCATATGAAACCTACATTTTGTAAAACACCTGCACTTAGGCATTTAAAAACATTTCTTCCTGTAAGTTTTTATAATAAAAATTTGGTTGGAGGATGGGATTGGTGACTGGGAGTTGGTAAAATGGGAGGGAGGGTCTTGCTGCTGTTCCCACATGAGGCACGTGTGAGTTCCTGGGGATTTGTTCTGAGTTTGACCCCGCTTCTAGCCCCCAGTCTACCCTCCTACCCATTTATTCATATGTTCTCACCTCCCTTTTCCGTTTGCCTCTTATCTACTTGCCCCAATTTCCTCCCTCCCCCTTCTCTCTATCTCCCTCTCTCCACCCCCCCTCCTGTCCTCTCCCCTGCCCCCAGCTCCCTGTCTGCAGGCTGCCGAGGAGGCTTCTTCCTCTTCACCATGTCCAGGATCAACCTGCGGATACGAGAGCTGCTTTTCTCGTCCTTGCTGCGCCAAGACCTTGGTTTTTTCCAGGAGACTAAAACAGGTGAACCTTGCTTCTGGGTCGGGGGTCCTCTGTCCCTTCCTTGTGTCACTCTCCTCCCTGTCCCCTCTTCCTGCTTCCACCTCTGGGGCCTGGCAGGTGCCTTTTAGAGCAGGGTAGAGGTGTAGCCCAGTCTCTGTGGGGGAAGAGGCGGGAGAGAGTCAGTAAGACGGCCCAGAGTCTTTTGGATTTCTGTAGTGTTCACGGGTCCGCTCATTCTCTCTGTCCTCCCCAGGTGAGCTGAACTCACGCTTGAGCTCGGACACCTCCCTGATGAGCCGTTGGCTCCCCCTGAATGCCAACATCCTTCTGCGGAGCCTGGTGAAGGTGTTGGGGCTCTACTTCTTCATGCTCCGGGTGTCGCCCAGACTCACCTTCCTCTCGCTGCTGGACCTGCCCCTCACAATAGCAGCCGAGAAGGTGTACAACCCCCGCCACCAGGTACGTGTGCATGTCACAGTGCCCTGAGAGGAGACTAAAGTGTGGCGGTGTGCAGGCTTCCACACGTGAATCTCAGCATGGAGAGAGAGAGAGAGAGAGAGAGAGAGAGAGAGAGAGAGAGAGAGAGAGAGAGAGAGAGAGAGAGACTTGGTGCATGCCTTTCCCACAAATGTTTGGGAATCAGTGTGAAGAACATCTTAGGAGGTTTACATTTTATTTGTTTTTATTTTATGTGTGAGTGTTTGGCTTGAATGTATATACATCATTTGTGTGCAGTACCTGAGGAGGCCAGAAGAGGGCGATGGAGTTACACAGTTGTGAGCAGTGTAGGTACTGGGAATTGAACCTGGGTCCTCTGGAGGAGCTGCCAGTGCTCTCGCCCACTGAGGCATCTTTCCAGCCCCTAGAAAGTTTCCCCTTTCACCTCAGCATACATAATTGGATGGCGTGCAGGGGTGGGAGGACTTGAGTCTGAATTAGTTCCACCTCAGGCTTTCTGTTGTAGTAGAGCAAAGAAGATGTAAAAACACCATGTTCCTCTCCTTTGGACCACAGTTCAAAGTGCAAGCCTTCTGATTCTTCAATCCCCACCAACTTACTGCCATTTAATTTTTAGAATTTTACTGGCTGTGGTGCAGTGGCTCATTGTGGCTCTGGTTTGCATTTCCCTAACCACTGATGTTGTTAAGTGTGTTTTCATGAGCTTTTGGGACATTTGACATTCTTTGGAGGGATGCCCATCCAATTCTTTTTGTTGCTTTTCGGCCCTTTGGCTAAGAGAATTTCTATGTCCATTTTTTTTCTTTTCTTTTTAAAAAAAATTAACAGTTCTTTTTGTTGCTGTTGTTTTTATTTTAGTTTTTGGAGACAGGGTTTCACTGTGTTCCCCTAGCTGTCCTGGAACTCACTCTATACACCATGCTGGTCTTGAACTCACAGGGATACAACTACCTCTGCCTCCCAAGTGCTGGGATTAAAGGTGTACGCCACCACTGTCAAGCTTAAAATTTGCTTTTTAAAAGACATTCTTTATGTATTTTTAAAATGTATTCTGCACATTTTCTGGATGTTAGTTGGCATGCTGGGTAGGCTAGTGACATGCAGGCTGTGGCGCAGAATTCTCCAAGACAGGAAAGGCAGCAGCAGAGGGTTGACTAGAGACACCGAGGTACAGCCTTAGCCGAGACAGCAGGCAGGCTGATCGCACAGGAGAAGTCTCAGGAGCTGCTGTTATATGGGTGTGTGTGTTTCTACACACACAGTCGGGCTCTGTTCAATGTCACAGTGTCCTGGAATAGTCACTGTTGTGTGTGTTGTGGCCTTGAGGCTCTGGTGATTTCACCATGACTCAGACTCAGCTCAGCCCAGCGCTCAGGTCTTAAAGTGGCACCCACACTTGGCAGCTGGTGCTTGCTGTGGTTCACTCTTTGGAGATAACAGTCTGTTCAGAGGCAAAGGCCCTGCTGAGCCCAGCCTGCCTTGAAGCAGAACATTCCTGCTGTGCAGCTGGGGTGCTCAGACCAGCTGCCTTCCCAGAGCAGCAGCTGCCTTAGCCTCTCATCCGATTTACAAAGATGCATCTTGATGTCTCCTTCACTGTGGACAGACAGGGTCCTGTGTTGGCTGCAGTGTTGACAGACGGACAGGGTCCTGTGCTGCAGTGTGGACAGACAGGGTCCTGTGCTGACTGCAGTGTGGACAGACAGGGTCCTGTGCTGGCTGCAGTGTGGACAGACAGGGTCCTGTGCTGGCTGCAGTGTGGACAGACAGGGTCCTGTGCTGCAGTGTGGACAGGGTCGTGTGCTGCAGTGTGGACAGGGTCCTGTGCTGGCTGCCATGTGGACAGGGTCCTGTGCATCTGTCTTTGTTGCTTGTGCTTTTGGTGTCCATTTAAGAAAATATTATCAAATCCTGTGTTAGGAAGCTAGTTAACTGGGGGCTGGAGAGGTTGCTCAGTGGCTCAGAGCTTTACTTCTCTTGCAGAGAACTGGGGTTTGGTTTCCAGCACCCACACCCACATGCAAGCTATTCAGTACTCTCTTCCAGCCTCAGAGGCCGCTGCGCACGCGTGCGCGCGCACACACATACACACACACAAATAAAATAAGTCGTCATAGGAAGAGTTTTTTCAATTTTAACTCTTAAACTCAGGTATTTGATCCATTTCTAATTACAGCCCCACCTTTTTTTTTTAAATAAAGGTTTATTTTACTATTTGTGCATGTGTGTGTGCTCACGTGTGTGTGCACACACATGTGTGCAGCTGCCCACAGAGGCCAGAAGATGTCACCCGATCCCTTGGAGCTGCAGTTGCAGGCAATAGAAGCCGCCTAGCTTGGGTGCTGGGCACTGCCCTCTGGTCATCTGGAGGAGCAGCAAGCTCTCTAAAGAGCTGAGCCGTCCTGCCGGCCAGGTCTCCATTGCTCTTAACTACTGCGTCTCTTTCCCCACCTGACATCATTTTCTTCACATGGAAGTTAAACCAAATAGCACGCATGTACCACAGTATTCACCAGTGAGAGTTCAGCAATGCGCATCCTCTCCTTCCTTTTCTCTGTGAGTGTGCGTGTGAGACACACAATGGGGGGTGGGTGCCAGGAATGTGTGCACACGCAGGTGTTTCTTAGGAGCAAGTCGGGGTTCCTTGGGGCTTCCGGTCCTTATGCTGGCATGGCAAGCAGTGAGCCATCTCCCCAGCACTCCCCTCCCCCCTCCCCGGCCTGTTGTGTTCTGTCGCATTAACCAGCTTGGCCACTGTCTCTTTCCCAGGCTGTGTTAATGGAGATCCAGGATGCGGTGGCCAAGGCTGGGCAGGTGGTGCGTGAGGCGGTAGGAGGGCTGCAGACTGTGCGCAGCTTTGGGGCTGAGGAGCAGGAGGTCAGCCGCTATAAGGAGGCCCTGGAACGATGCCGACAGTTGTGGTGGCGCCGAGACCTGGAAAGAGCCGTGTATTTAGTCATCCGGAGGGTGAGGCGGCCTGTGGAGGGAAAGGGGGGATGAGGAGCCAGACCACGGAGGTTCTGGGGACCAGGGTGGCACACTGGATGGGGGGGCTCACCCATCTCTCCCCTCTTCCCTCCAGGTAATGGCCTTGGGCATGCAGGTGCTGATTCTGAACTGCGGGGTGCAGCAGATCCTGGCTGGTGAGGTGACCAGGGGAGGCCTGCTCTCCTTCCTGCTGTACCAGGAGGAAGTGGGACACTATGTCCGGGTGAGTGAGATGCCTCAGGACAGGCCTTGGCATTCTTTCTGGCCCTTTGGGCCTTGAGCTTTATTTGTTTAGCAAACAAACTAGTTAATATTCTTATGGATAATTTTGAACATGCTTTAAAAAGACATTATAAGGTATTTTCAAATAACTATTATCAGCTTTAACGATGATCAAAACCCTAACCTTGACTCTAACCCCAACCCTAACTCTAGCCATAACTAACTCTAACCCTGGCTTAACTCCATTCTAAACTAGCACTAACCCCATCCAAACAACCCAACACCAAATATCCGTAACTCTAACTTAACTTCACCTTGACTGACCTTATCCCTGATTGCAATCCCAAACCCAACCCTACCCCTAGCCTTAAACTAACCTTAAGCCTAACTTACTCCCAACAGCCCACCGAGTTGTGTTTGCCCTTACTCCCTCATACTACTTTGAAACAAATTCAGACTATCAAGTCTTATTTGTAGACATTTCCATGTTTGACTTTAGAATATAAGCATCTGAGGTATGTAGCCCCAAAAGTCATTATCACACCAAAAACTTAGCAATAACTTCTTAGAGCCATCCAGTCACACAGTGCTCAGATCTCCGCAGGTTCACACGGTGTGATTGGTTGGTGTCCTTTCAACCTCTCTGTATCTGCTGATTTAAAATCCCCAACATGCTATTTGTTGAAAGAAGGCATATTTTTGTCCTGTGGTGTTTCCTGTGGACTGTGTTCTTTCTGTGGGCTGAGCCTCTGTAGTATTGCTCCAGTGTCTACCTGTTTCTCTATTTTCTCTCCACTGGTAGATAAATACAGAAACTTTAAGATTCATCATTTCCCTTTTTATGGTTATGGCTGTGTTCTTTTTTTAAAAGAGATTTATTTATTTGTTATGTATACAACATTCTGCCTCTATATATGCGTGCAGGCCATAAGAGAGCACACCAGAAGAGGGCTCCAGATGTCACTATAGATGGTTGTGAGCCACCACGTGGTTGTTGGGAATTGAACTCAGGACCTCTGGAAAAGCAGTCAGTGCTCTTAACCTCTGAGCCATCTCTCCATCCCATGGCTGTGCTCTTTATCTGGGAGACAGCATATCTGGTTCTCTTTGTGCTGGTGTCTGCCACTGATAACCAGTGCCTTACATCTGTTAAATCCTCAGGGCTGTAAAGAGTTCTGCTCTGTGGGGTCTTCCCGTATTAACTTGGAAGCACCAGCTTAGGGACTTGATCTCATCCACTGCTGGGTTACCCAGTGGCATAGTTTGACTAGAACAGGTACTTAGCTAGTTCTTTATATTCGATCACTTAAAAAAAATAAGTTACCTTGTTTTGGCTCTGACCATAATTTTCCTGGTTACTTCTTCACCTTCCTTCATGTGTGGAGAGCTGTGCCAGGCAATCTGATAATTTCAAAGGATAGGTTGGCCACAGTGGCCACTTTTAAAAGGGTTTCCTGTCTCAAGCCAGGCTACACTGGGCACACAGAGTGCAGAGCAGTGAGTGGAAGGCTTGAGGTTTGACACTGTGTGGACTTCAGAGCTTTTCAGTTGCAAATCAGAACTCTGCGACTTTAAATTCTACCAAAATTACTCTGGTCACGAGGGCACGTGTTTGTAATCCTATGGTTCTTGTCACCCTGGGGGAAGATGTCACATTTGAGGCCAGCCTGGGCTACAGAGCCAAAACTGTTCAAAAGAGCAAAGGCAAACCCACTCTCTCTCTACTCCTAACTAAAAACAACCCCGTCAACTTTCCCTCCCCCAGTTCCATCCAAATCACACGTTCAAAGGTAAGTAAAGGCTCCTTTTTGGGTAGGGGCGGGGAGAGGCTGGCGGAGGTCATGTTGTTGGCAGAGTGTGTGGGGAGCTGAGATGNATTTTTGGGTAGGGGCGGGGAGAGGCTGGTGGAGGTCATGTTGTTGGCAGAGTGTGTGGGGAGCTGAGATGGGGACCTGTGTTCCGGTGGGGTGTGACTAGTTCTCCTGTCCGTTCCTGTTTTCCAGAGCCTGGTGTACATGTATGGGGATATGCTGAGCAATGTGGGTGCCGCTGAGAAGGTTTTCTGCTACATAGACCGAAAGCCAAATCTGCCCCAGCCTGGGACTCTGGCCCCTGCCAATCTGGAGGGCCGCGTGGAATTCCAAGATGTCTCCTTTTCGTACCCCAGTCGCTCTGAGAAGCCTGTACTCAAGGTGCCTGCGGGAGACCCCGTGGCCAGGCATCACAGCCTGTACATAGGCTCCTCTAGAAAGCTGCCCTCACCTCTTCCTGCTTTTCTAGGGCCTGACGTTCACACTGCACCCTGGAAAGGTGACAGCGTTGGTGGGGCCCAACGGGTCCGGGAAGAGCACCGTGGCTGCCCTGCTGCAGAATCTGTACCAGCCCACGGGGGGCCAGGTGCTGCTGGACGGCCAGCCCCTGGTCCAGTATGATCACCACTACCTGCACAGCCAGGTGGGAGGGGCTCCGGAGAGGGAGGGGCAGGAGAGAGGAGCAAGCGTGGAGGGCAGATGAGGCAGTCCCAGGGAAGAGAGGCTGGGGTCCATCCTAGGGACCTCTGTGGAGAGACTGGGTGTGGGGGAGTGGGGGGAGGAGGTACCAGTTCTCTGCACGCGTCCCCTCTGTCCAGGTGGTTCTGGTGGGACAGGAGCCCGTGCTCTTCTCCGGGTCTGTGAAGGACAACATTGCCTACGGCCTGAAGGACTGTGAGGATGCTCAAGTGATGGCAGCTGCTCGGGCAGCCTGTGCAGACGACTTCATAGGGGAAATGGCTGATGGGATACACACAGGTACCTACAGGTCCCGAGACCGCCCTGCCGGGGTTAGGAGAAAAGGGGCCTGGTGCAAAAGTCACTGGATACAGCGCTTGTGTTGCAAGCATGAGGACCTGAGTTCGATCTTTGGAATCCATTCTATAATGGAAAAAAAAGCCAGCGTAATCCCAGCTCTCGGGCTTCAGAGTCAGGAGGAGGTTCCTTAGGTCTCATTTCAAGCCAGTGAGAGAGTTTGTTCCCAAAACAGATAGACACTGCGGAGGAACAGCCCACACACGTACACCCGCCCCCAGCTCCGCCCTTTGCTCCCACTTCTTATTCTTCTCCACCCCCTTCCTCTCCTGCCAGGCTTTGCTATCACCTGATTGGCTAACAGAAGTAGACGGGGTAACTTGTCCTTCCCAGCAGGGAGGGGTGTTTTCTGACCTGTTGTGTCTCAAGAGGGACTTTCTCTGATTTCCTCAGACATAGGGGAGAAAGGGGGCCAGTTAGCTGTGGGACAGAAACAACGTCTGGCCATCGCCCGGGCCCTTGTGCGGAACCCACGGGTCCTCATCCTGGATGAGGCTACCAGTGCCCTGGACGCCCAGTGTGAGCAGGCTGTGAGTACCAGCGTGGGAAGGGCAGAGGACAGTGCGGTTAAGGGAGGTAGTGAAGGGTCAGGTGGTGTGGAGCTGGACGGGCAGAGAGGGGCAGATGTTCCACTGATGGGGAGAAAGTCTGCACCTTGCAGGGCTGTACACTGCTTGAATTGCAATGGTTACTTTTTTCTTGCTGAACCAAATACCCGAGAAAAGGAATTTAGAAGACAGGCCATTTTGGCTCACAGGGTTGAGAGCACACAAGCCGTCATGGCAGGGGCAGCATGGCTGTGGGAGGAGTGTGTGGTTTGCACTCCTCACATCTTGGTGGATCAAGAACCAGAGAGTGATCCAGGACCTAGGGCATGGAATGGTGCCACTCACTTTCAGGGTGGATTTTCCCTCAGTCAAGCCCTCTCTGGATGAATCAGTCCTCACAGACACATCCAAAGGTGTGCCTTGCCCATGCCCTGGGCTTTCTTAAGCTGAGTTGGCAATGAAGATGAACTATCTTCAGGATGAAAGGAGAATGGTGCGGGGTGTCTGGTCCTCCATAGCTGCCTTTCCCAGCGGCAGTAGCGCAGCCAGGAGGGACAGACCCCATCACCTGCCTTTGCAGCCCTGCACAGCTGTGCCTTCTTTACCCCAGTCACAGGGGATGGCCCAGCTGTGGTGTCCCACTCTTGCCTTTCTGAGGCTTGTGACCTGTCCTCTGCAGCTGCAGGCCTGGAGATCGCAGGGGGACAGGATGGTGCTGGTGATTGCCCACAGGCTGCACACGGTTCAGAACGCCGACCAGGTCCTGGTGCTCAAGCAGGGGCAGCTGCTGGAGCAAGACCAGCTCAGGGAAGACCAGGATGTCTATGCTCACCTGGCACAGCAGCGGCAGGAGGAGTGAGTGCTTCTCAGGCCTGTGGCCAGAAACGGACCCACGGGGACTGTGCTGGAGGCTGGATAAAGACCGGGACCATTTTTGGACCTTGTGTGTTTTGATGAGCTCGAGTGGGTGGGTGGGAGTTGGGGGATGGAGTGGTCATGGGTGGAGTGAGTGCTTCATGGTTCTAGAAACATTTTTTTTTGCTGAATATAATAAATAAGTATAAAATGTTTTTCCTTAATATATGTTATGGTTAATAGTGATTGACATTTTAGCAGCACCTAGCATCATGGACAAACATCTGGGCATGTTGATGAGGGAGTTCTAGACTGGGTTGGCCGAGCTTGGAATAACTGCAGGGGAGCCATCCCATGGGCTGGGGTGTGGCCCAGACTGCATAGAAGGGGGCAGTGAGCTGAGCACCAGCGTGATCTCTCTGCTTCCTGCAGCTGAGGTCATGTGACCAGACACCTCCATTCCTGCCTTCCCTGACATGACAGACTGTACCCTGAAGTGTGAGACAACTAAACCCTTCCTTAAGCTGCTTTTGTCAAGTGTTTGCTGCACCAATAAGAAAAGCAGCTAATAGTGTGTGTGCATGTGAATAGTGTGTGTACATATAGTGTGTGTATGTGAATAGTGTGTGCATATGAATAGTGTGTGCATATGAATAGTGTGTGCATATGAATA